TTGCAAGGTCGGAATAGGCCACTGACTCAAAATGGCTCAGGTCAGCATTTGTTTTTGGGAACATACCGTTTAGTGTAAACCCTGACGCCTATTCGAACGGCAAAACTGCAGTTATCTCTTTGATATTTGGTCACCTTGACTTTATGTAGGTCAAACAAACTCACTGACCTCACTGACTTTTTGCTTAGCACAGGTATTTAGCTTCACGGCGGTTTCATGAGGAGGTCTGGAGGCACTTGAGACACCAATCTGGAATTCGCCCTTGTTTTACTTATTTGACCCGAAGGTCGCAAACTAGGTATTCAAAATTTTGACTCAAGTAGTACATGTACATGTCAATTTATTCTGTGAATTTGGGGTCTCTAGCTATCTTAGTTTTTTTCTAATCTCGGGGATGTAAAATTGACTTTCACCCGAGTGAAGGGCATTCAGCCACCCGGGCGTGTGTTAACACGCGCTCGGGTTGGGAGTCAAATTGACTCCCCCGAGAGTTTTTCCGGAATGGTTTCTGAACAACGCGGTGCAGACGCGTCAAATTTTGCATAGCTGTAGAAAATTGAATAGCAAATCGTGTGGTATCAAAAAATGGATATACCCTTTAAGCTCGCTGACCTACGCCGCGTCAAATTCAGGCAATGGACTCGGCGAAGTCAATTTCAAGGAAATCGTTCAGTCTGATTGAACAACGGAGTGTTAGACGCAGCCGTTCATCTCTGAGATACTTTCATAGGTAACACAACAACTGAATGATCAAATTATATTTACCAAGGGTCAGATATAAAGGACAGGCCGATGTCAAGCCCACCCTGTTTCATTACTCGAGGGCTTGCTGTGAGGGGTAGTTTCTGGTGCTCATTTCGAAGTTATTGATGACAGAAACCGCATTGGACATTTTCCATGAACTCTTATAGGTCAGAATAGATTACTGACCTAAAATGACCCGGGTCAGCATTTTGTTGTTCGGAACATACTGCCTAGCTTAGTCTATGTCGCTAATTCAGACGCAAAACTCAAAGCAGTCCTCTATGATTTTGGTCACCACAACCTTCGAAGGTTCAAACAAGGCCACTGATCTTGAATAAGCATGCGATCTTTTGCTTAGAACAGGTGTCTAGGTACTGAGGACACTTAGGAGACCGACTTGAAGTTTGACCTTGTTTGACCTCATTTAACTCAAAGATCATGACCTAGGAAGCCTAAACTTAGACCTAAGTGAGTTTACGTACATTTCAATACGCCCTGTGAATTTAGTGTCTCTACCCCTCTTAGTTCCTTAGATCTCAGGGGGTCAAATTGCCCCCCCCCCCCACCACCCGAGCAAAGAGCATGCAATCGGCCACCTGGGTGCGTGTTAAACAAATCGTTGGTGGTGGTCAAGCCTTTGGTAGACTTTGCACCTTCCCTAGCATTTTCCTGTGTTGTTAGTTTTTTCAGCGGAATAAAACAAGTAGCTGTTTGAAACAAGGAAACAACTTTACTTCCCGGGACTAGAACCAAAGTTTGGAAACGCTTCCGAGGTAAAACCCCGATATCCCGGGCAAACAGCCAATCAGAAGCTGAGTGCTATCCTCAACAGGGACGGCCGGGTATAGATGTTACAGCTTCTACGGCTGTTTTCGTCATACTTGATTAAAGGGAGTGTTCCATATTTGTACGGGGGTTTTAGCTGAACTAGCCATCTTGAAGCTCATTCGGCGCGGTTTGCATTCCTCTCCTCAATACCTGAGCCCCTCTAGTTTCTGAGCTACACGCCCGCAAAGATGTGCAGACTACTTCAAGATTATCCTGGCACCCTTGACGCCATAGTAACGTCTTTCAAATCCTGCTACGCCATTGGCCATGCGGCGACCAAGGCCAAGAAAAATAGCATTGTCTAGTCACTCATATCTGGCGTTCGTGAGCACGGTTTACAGACACGACGGCCGTCAATAGGCTCCCAACCAGTGTTGTGCAAGACACGATGACGCAATCAAACAATGACGTATTCAGGAGCGCATTCACTAATTGGCTTTATGTACCGATCCACGAAGCCTATCGATATTTACACGAGTGCTTATTTCACCACGCATTATGCTTGCTTCATTATGCTCGGACGCGCATTATACTCAAGACGCGCTCGGGTGGGGGTCAAATTGACTCCCTCGAAGGTTTTTCCACAATGGTTTCCGAACGGCGCGGTGTTGATGCGCCAAATTTTGCATAGCTGTAGACAATTGAATAGCAGATCGCTTGGCATCAAAAATGTAGATTTACTTTGTACGGTCGCTGAGCTATGGCAGGTCAAAGTCAGGCCATGGTTTCAGCGAAGGCAATTTCCAGGGAATTCTTCAATCTGGTCCAACAATGGGGTGTTAGACGAAGCCATACATCTCTGAGATGCTTTCTTAGGCGACACAACAGTTGAATAAGCAAATTACATTGACCTAAGGTCAGTTATGAAGGTCACACCAAGGTCAAAACCAACCTGTTTTGTTATTCTAGGGCTTGCTGTGTGGGATAGTTTCTGGTGCTTATTTCGAATTTACTGATAGCAGGAACCGTATTATTCATCTTCCATGGACTTCTTAGGGGCCAGAATAGGTCACTGACCTGAAATGACCCAGGTCAACATTTTGTTTTAGGAACATACTGCCTAGCATAATCTTTGTCGCTTAGTCAAATGCAAAACTCAAAGCAATCTTGTATGATTTTGGTCACCTTGACCTTCAAAAGGTCTAAAATGGTCACTGACCTTGAAGAAGCATGTGACCTTTTGCTTAGGAACGGTTATCTGCGTTCTGGGGGGCTTTGGAGACCAACCTAGAATTTGACCTTGTTTGACCTTTTTCGACTCGAAGGTCATAAGCCAAGAACCTGAAACTTTGACCTAAGAGAGTTTACGTGCAGGTTAACACACCCTGTAAATTTAGTGTCTCTAGCTTTCTCAGCTTCCGAGATCCCAGGGGGTCAAATTGACCCCCGCACCACCCGAGCAAACGGTAACTAGCCGGCCACCCGGGCGCGTCTTCAATGTTGCAACATTCCCTGTAAGAAATACGCTTTTATGTGTGTGGAGCAAGTGTCATGTATGATTTTGAGAACCAGGCGTTCATCGTGACATAAATAAAAGTTGCAACAACATATTTGAGCAAATGTGGCAGATCTTAAAAATAGCAACACATTCCGAAACCGCTGCGCTGCCTAACAATTTTTCATTGAACTCTTAGTCCACAATGCATCCTTCTACGCAACTGATCCGAATGACATATGATAATATAGATATAAGACCACACCTTTTGGATGGTGTTCGTTAGTTCTATGCCTTTTGATCTTTCGGGACAAAGCAAGGAAACAGTTAATGAATGTTTTGAACGTGACCCTATTCCAGAAATCCGCTTTTGAAGCATTTTAGTTCCCGCATATTTTGATAGAAATGCAAAAGGCAAGTTTCTAGTTATTGTTATTTCTTTACACATCTACGACATCTGAAAGGTAGCAACTTCTTATCATTCTCTCCCTTACATTTCCATAATGGCGTAACGTTTAACCTTGCCCTCCCACGTCACATCACGTCACCTCACGTCGTAACACGAGTATATGAAAGACCTGTCTGGCGTAAATACGGTCTGCCCATCTCAGAGGTAAATGATGACAGAATTATTCCCGTGAGCTATGACAGCTCACGACCGGTTGATATTTTAGCACACATAAACAGCAAGCTCGTGCATGCTGGGAAATATCTGCCGGGCGCAAAAATGCAATGATAAGGTCTGCAATGCAATTTTCTTGCAATGATAAGGTCTGCAGGGACAGTAGCATAAAACTCGGACGAGGCGCCAGCCAGAGAGTAACGCAGGTTTCTTCCACGCATTCGGCGAAATCGGTTTTTTCTATCACTGTTTCATAATGTCGAAAATCACACCTTGTTCGTGAAGTACCATGGCCCGGTCTAGCTACCTATGGCATGAATTAGCCCAGAGCAAAATCTAATGTAACTATTTGGCCCTACTGTGCAAGGACCCCCGGTGCGGAATAAGGCGCCTTATGCACCACCCATGACGTAAAGAGGCGGAAAATGTTTTATCAAGGGGTTTAACATCCAGGATTTTGGAAGTTTCCGGCGGCCCCACAAGCTCCGTCACTGATTCACATCGAGTCGACGTTTCATTTTCCACAGGACTACAGGGCCAGACTCGCGGGCTCCGAATGTCAGTAAGAGCGTTTCCTTTCTCGCTCGGGATGATGAAGGGTCTCTATCGAATCTGTTAAGCAAAAAGCTGGTCCGAGCTTTTTATAGCGGGAGTCCGTGACTCACAGAACAAAATTGGAATCTGGGCCCCTCAAAATTGATAAAGACAAATATGGCCACCTACTGTAGGTAGGGTCCACCTCCGGGTGAACGGCCCACAAATTCCATTTTTCCGGAATGATCTACTTGAGTCCAAATCGTGATTCTTTGGCTGGAAATAAATGAATAAGTGGGTTAGGAATTATTTCAAAGAATTGTTTATAAAACTAATCCGCCGGAACTGACATGTTACTGTCCGCGTGTGTGTCCCCAGACTGAGCCCACACGGCTGATTTATAAGTCTTAGTAGATTATTTCTACGCTAGGTGTCTCTACTAAGCAGCACCTCCTTTCGTTCGTGCTTTGTTACTTTCACCTACCGTAGTAAATGCTGCGTAGAAGGTCATTGATCCACCGGCCGGCATTTAAACTTGTGTACGCAGCATTGTATCTCTGAAACTGTCGCGTCCCTCGAAATGTTGCTCATAGTCTCCTCTGCATGTGGTTTTCTGCCTTCGATCTCTGCAAACTGTCAGGCACAAACGTGCGTAAATCACCGTTTTTCTTTGTTCTAAGATAGCACTGCATCCCCGCCGTGGCGTCAGCCAATGGGAAAAATGGGTCAGCTGAGCGTCGGCCAATCAGCGCGCTGCCGTTAGTCACGTGGTTTTGTTATTGTTCGTCAGCTGATCGGAGCGTTGTTGTGGCTCACAGCTGATCGAGAGGTGGGAGGGAGAGGTGGCCGTGTGGTAGAGGCTTGCATTCGGGTGCGAGCGGAGGTTGTTGGCTGGTGTGCGGAGAGAGACTGTGGCATCGTGGCGGAGTGACTATCTACATTGTTAAGTGTCGACTGGGGAGATGTGAGGAAGCCAGCTGCTGTGTACCACGCTTCTGAAGTTGAAGAACGCAATAAATCAGTAGCCATGTCGACTGGGAAGCGCATAGCGAAGCGTTCCATATTGGGGACGCGAGTGGCAGCCTGTCGTGTGGATGGACTGTACCACACAGGTGTCATCTGTGGTACTAAAGTCGGGGACGGCTTTTCAGCTCCGCGATATTCGGTGCGCTTTGACGGAACAAGATTCGTCGCTGAATTCGGACCCAATGACCTCGTTGGTCCGGGCTTTCTGTCTGTGTGTGATATAGAACTGTTACCAGAACAGATGATTCACGTGACACACAATGGAAGAGAAACACAAGGCGTCGTCTTGAGCCACCGACCTGACTTGGACGAAGTATGGATCGAAATCAAGCAAGGATATGGAAAGGTACGTTGCACAGTTACACTGATTCGGAAATGTTTTTCGCATTGCCATGTCCTGCGTGTGTGTATGGAACACCTGTAATGCGCATCAAATCAGGTGTGTGATTTGAGGCTTCCATACGTGGGGTTTCCAAGGCAACACCAGTGATCTAGAACTCCTCTTTTCTACCTGTTTGAGGATTCCATAAACACTTAAATAATAGTGGTGCATGCTTGTTTATACAACAAATATCTTCAGGAAGAAGTTCGCATGTGTGTCTTATGAATGATATTTGAACTCATTGTTTTGCGATAGAAACTCCCATCCTGAAAGCTTCACTGCGAGGTCATTACCAGGCATTGACGAGCTCGTTTACACCATTCGTAGCGTTTACCTGTATTTACATAGCTCGCGGCGTGCTAATATTATTGCACTGTAAAGCCGTTATTCATGTTTCGGTTTTAGTTCAAAACAAATATATTTTTCACGAGCTGTCGTGTCAAGAATTACGTATCCTTTGTTTGATGAGTTAATCATTAAAATTGTCGAGAACAGTTATATATTTACTGTTGTGAAGAGTATGCCTATCTAGCTCGTAGGAGCTTCGAAAATTGTGTTCCAAATGCCTGTTCTCAAACATCACACTTATGACGTTCTTTGTCTAAAAGACTATTCTGTATCGCTGAGTGTAGGCTCTCTCTCCGAAATGCTGTCATAATGTATTGCTTTTAAAACAGAATGTATTTTAGCGTTGTTCTTATGGTATCTTGGTCAGGGTATGCTTTGCTCTGAGCAGGGGTGTTATTTATTTATGACTCTGATCTGGGCCAACTATGTCTACCGCGCTTTGCATTACTAATACGAGTAACGTGAACTATGCCGCTATTTTCGTTGTTGTATGATTTTCGATGGTTTAAAACAGCAGGGAACATAGGGACATATAACATAGAACAAAGAACATAAGATGTATCATCTAAGACATGGGTATAAAGTATGAGACATGGGGCTTGGGGTAAGGACATGAATGAGGACGAGGCAAAGGCATGCATTTATTCATCCGTGGTCGCTTTTTGCGTGACTAAATGCTATCAACCCGTCAGCCTGCCCTTTCAGCCACACTCACTTTTTCACTTGAGACGAACGCATCACTACGATCAATTTATGCCTTCCCTGTGTTCTCCCAGCTCCCATGTTCCCCCGCGGAAGCGTTCCCGAAGACATTCATAGCGGCTTCCAACAAGACCCCTATTCTCCGAACTGTGTGTGGTGACGGGTCGCTGCTGACCGTCGGGGGGGGGGGGAGGGGGGCGACAGCCCGGTCACTAGCGGTCTGGGCTGGGCAGCGGGCTGGACGCGGTCACACGTTCTGCTCTCCGTGCCCGGCGCTCGTGGCACGTGTAGCCAGGTACGCAGCGCGCGAGGCGTTGGGCGTCGAGTCCGGCTCAGCCGCGTCGAAACCGCGCCGCTGCAACCGGTTGTCCGCGAATCGAGGTCACAAGACGCCTCTCTACTACGTAGTAAGATCGTATCCTGCGCGACGAGCATGGCAAGCGGGCGATGCGACCAGTGAAAGTCCTGGCCGACTGGCCTCTGTTACCGCTCCCGGCTCTCTCGCTCTCTCTCTCTCTCCCTCTGTCCGGAGCGCTCATGGCCCTGCCACGCCGCAGTCGTGTCGTCGCCTGGGCTGGCCGTCGACCTTGACCTGAACGGTAGTGTGTTAACGGACATGAGCGTGTCGTGCTTGGAGGGTAACAGTCGCGACGGCGTTAACTCAACCTAACGGCGAATACAAAAAAGATAGGGCTCAGGTGCCCTTTCTTCGCTTGACATAGGACTGGTGTTAACACTCCCTCAGGTTGGGCGGGAAGGGAAGGAGGTCAGCTGCTTCCCGAATCAATTCCCTATGTCCATGTCCTCATAACTGGCCTCCAACGTCATCAGGGAGGCCGGTTCGGTCCAGGAAGTGCGTTATGCGCCTGACCCCGTCCGGTCCTCTCCACGCCTGACCCGGTCACGAGCAGACCCGTCTGCACCGCACTCGGCACCGTGCACGGCGCGTGCACGCTGAACACGTGCAGATGAACTGCCTGCACCCGCGGCCGCCCGGGGCCAGGAAATGCATGCACAATACAGCTGAACAGCGAGCTGAATACGCGTTGTTTGGGGCGGCGTTACATAACGCGGCGTGCCCGGGCCCACGTCACGGCTGAACTTCAGGGGCTCAGTGTCGCGGACGGGGGTAACAGCTCGAGGTGAGCTCAGTACTGAACCCGTAGTAACAGCCTCGTGTGCCACGGGACAGTATCACATGCTGCTGTCACGGCCGCTACGGCCCGACGTCACAGCTGAGCTTCAGAGCTTAACATCTGGCCTCAGCGTGAAAGCTCGGCGTCGCAGCTCGGTGTCCCGGGCTGCGTAACGAGAGCTGCGCGTTGCGTAACGACGCGCGCTGAGTTTCACGTCCAGCGGAGGGGAACGGAGAAACCGGGCCGCCGGCCAGCGCCGCGTCGGCGGCGTGTTTTACCCAAGTAGGTCAGGTGCGTGCGCCGTGCGTGTGGGGTGCCGGAGGCGCGCGGGCGACCCATCGATCGCATGGTGCGGCCGCCGCCCGACAAAGGCGCCGTCCCCGCCGCCGTCTCGGCGCCTCACAAAGAGGGGCGCTGGCAGAGCGGGCGGCGAAGGTGCGCCGAGACCGGGCCCTGGTGACGCCAGAGGGAGACAGCCGGGCCGGCCTGAATGCGACCCGGGTGATGGGAGGCGCCGACTGAATGAGAAGCAGGACGGGGGTTGGCCTTGGCGGCGGAGGTCGGCGGCGCTGCTGAACGACGGCTTACTGGCCGCGAGCTGGGAGGCGGGGCTGGTCACAGCCGCGGCGGCCAGACGCTGCCCGTCTGAGCCCAGTCTTTTCCTCATATAATCCCACCCGATCCTGACGCAGCCAAGGACGGCGGTCGGCGCTGATCGGAATCACATACGGGTGGACAAGGAGGCTCGCCCCGGCTTTGCCCTTCGAGCTGCAGGTTGCGCCGAGTGAGTCAGCTAACGAGTGCGATATCGCTTCGAGGGCCCTTTCGCCACCTGTGTGGGCGCGGAAGGGCCGCTTCAGCAGCGCTTAGGGCCTCCAAAGTCCAACAAGCCCCAAACTTGTGCTAGCCAGTCGGCGGACCGGATTTCAGGGCGGTCGCGCCGCGACCTTGTCTCGTGCGGACCAGTGACGTCATCAGCAGACAGGGCGACCGCGGTACCGATCAGTGACGTCACCGTGCCCCGGCGCCCGCTGGGTGTGCTGACTGGCCGGCCGGCCCTGCTGCACCCACTCCGGTGACCTTGGGCGTGGCCGCGGGCTCCGGCTTGGCGGCCTTGGGCCGCGCCGGCGGCGGAGGCGGCACCGGCGCGCCCACGCCCACGCCCGTCCTCCCACTGCCGATCCGCCGGCCCTCGTATTGCGCTGTCGGCCGCTGCGGTTTCTCAACTGGCCGCACCGGTCGCCCTTTGGGCTGTCTGCCTGTCAGCTGACCGTATCGCACGTTTCTGACGTTCGACGTGCGGTGGCAGCTCTGCCATGTCCGATAACCGCATAGTTGATTGATCGGAACAGTTGCGTTGACAGTTGGTGGGGTGGTTAGGCCGAATGTGGTTACGTACGTGGCGTCGTGTTCTCTGGGAGTTGGTGGTAGCTAAATCTGCTCTAACTCGGCTCACAGTCTTATCATACGTGGCTTGGAGAGTGCGCTGCTTTTTGCGATGCCGTTGTCGCGTGCGGCGCATCTCTAAGACGATTTCTGTCACAGTTGTGGGCGGCCATCTTGTTTTCTGCGTGCGGAGCTCCACCGAGCTCGCGCTCGGCATTACCCGCGGCCCAGGTAATGCCCTTCGCCCTGGTGGGGTTTCGGCCGGCCCCCGCCGGGTTCGTCCATTTGTTTTCTGTCGTTGAGCGCCCTGGCCGCCGGCGGCGGCGCCCACCGGCGGCCCGATCCCCTGGCCGGCGGTGCGCCACGTCGCCCGACCGGCCCCTGTTGTGCGCGCGCGCTCGGCTCTGTGCATGCGTGACAGCTCACCTTGGACGCGCGGCGTATCTGATGTGGCGGCCCAGAAGCCGGCCTGGAGTAACGGCCGCGCGCCGGCCGCGCTGCCGCGTCCGGGGTGCGGACTCGACGGCGGACCCGGCCCTGACCGGGCCGGCCGCAGCAGCTCCGGAGAGGAGGAGCAGACAGTCGGGGGCTGTCTTCCGCGTAGGCTAAGCTGGCCTTTGTACTTGCAACAGGGAAGCCGGGCGGAATCGCCGACCAGACGAGCTGAGATAGCTGTCGTCTTCTGATAGAGGGCGCGGAGACGAGCGCTGCCCAGAGAACAAGCGAGCTTACTCAAGCACTACCGTCTAGGTCACGCCCGCCTGCCGTCCGCCGCCAGACAGTGACCGGATGTCGGCTCTCCCGGTGTGCGGCTCACCCCTGTCGGGTCGCCGTGGGCGGCGGCGGTGGCGGCGGCCATGCTGCAGAGGCGCCGGCCGGCGCGGCTAGTCGTCATCCTTGAGAGCCGGGCACGCTGACGGTCGGCTCAGCCGGGCCCCAGCAGCCTTCGGACGGTGTTGGCCGCGCCTGCAGCCGGACCCGGTGACCCTTCCGTGTCCCCCTCCCCCCCCCCCCCACTCCGGGGCGGGGCAGGACTGTCCGAACTGCGGGCGGCGCAAAACATGGCGACAACTCGGCATGGCTTGTGTTATGATAGTTGATGCTCACGTACAGTGTGGTTTGCAAAACGGGTGCAGGAACTCACGGCTCACAAAGTGGCCGTAAGTTCCATGTAAGTCAACGGTACGATTAGCGATAGCGACGTAACACTTATTGCGAACAGTTGGAACGTCATAGTCCTTGTTATCGCGTGAGCCTCTATGTTTCAGTGGTTGGAAATTCATATTATCAATCCGTATGGCATGAGGCGTGAACGCCGCAAATACAAACCCGCAGCGGGCTTAGACTGCGCTACGTGGAGAGGCCATGGAATGGGCTGATGATTCCGTTGAGTAATGTAACCGTGTTTGTTTTCCCGCTGTGTGATGAACCGATCTTCAGGCGAGACCGCTCTCTTCCCAGAACGACCAAGTGCGGGCCCAGATCTGATGGGAGAATATGGAAAGCTGTAGTTGAGGCCATGGGTTCATGCATACTTCATAAGAAATGGGTCCAATGATGGACAGAGCCTGATCTGTTCTGACACATGTTGTGTACGGTAGCTAACGCCCGTCGGTTTCTGTCCTGGCGCATGCGCAGTACACTGCTATAAAATACGCTCACGCCCACTGCCTTCGTTTGCGGTGGTGGGAAACTGCTCCTTCCACCATTAAAAGGAAACTATCTGGTCCAAAAGCTGAATGATGATGAATGGAACCCGAGAACCTGCCCGAGGTTTTTAGAAGTCCCTTTAAACGTGGCCTTGCAGCCGACTGAACGCGCTCATAGAGAGTATTACTTCTTTTGAGGTCCTCGGCACAATTACCTTTGAGTGAGATGTGTAGCCAGTGGGCAGGTATGGCTTTCTATGGGTCCCGTGCCCGTCATGCCGGCTGGAAATACTTCATTCACTTTTCAAAGACACCCTCACCGCCATGGGTTTTAACGTAGGAGAATTCGACTAACTGTCCTCCTCCGTGCGAACGTCCTCAAAGACAAAGACGCTCACTACGAGCACAGCGCTGTCGGACGACAGCGGGGAAAGGCCACACTGTGTCGAAGCTGTGTCTCTCCCAGCGTTGATCCCGCTCACGACGCCACCTCCCCCCCCCCCCTCCCCCCCCCCCTACCACCACCACCACCAGCTGACACGGCCTCCATTGTGTACCGTCTGAGAGGGTATCAGAGGCCTAGTGGCTGGCGTTTTGTTCCCAAGAGGAGTCATCGGTTCGAATGCTGCCCCCAGCCTCAACCAGTGTCCCACTACCTCCAGGCCACTAGAATCCCGGTTACAGCACGTAAAGCGTGTCATCACGCATGTTTCGACCATTAACTGGACGGTTATTGTTTTTGCTGCCCATTGTTGTCATTATACGAAGATGTTTTGCTTCTGCTATCGACATTACAATGAATGCTGTGGTGTTGACGGCGCCTTATATGATTTATGGGTGCTACCGTTGCTGCCATTAACAATGCACATATTTCGGCATTGTCACAGATAGAATCGTTCCTTGCAATCACAATGAGCATCGTGTTGCCGGCAGTTTGAGGTGAAGAAGCGCCTGGAGGAGGTGCGCCTGTGGGAGAGCCGTAAGTCGCCGCGGCTCATCGACTCCGACACGGACTTCGCTCGGCTGGCCGACGTCGGCGTCGAGAAGCGACGATCGCCCGGCGTCGACATACCCGCCGCGCCGACCAGGTCAGTCCCCTGCTGACCAGGTCAAGGTCAGACCAGGTCAGCTGAGCAGATTCCCCTGTCGACCAGGTCAGCCCCCTGCTGGACAGGTCAAGGTCAGACCAGGTCAGCTGAGCAGATTCCCCTGTCGACCAGGTCAGCCCCCTGCTGGACAGGTCAAGGTCAGACCAGGTCAGCTGAGCAGATTCCCCTGTCGACCAGGTCAGCCCCCTGCTGGACAGGTCAAGGTCAGACCAGGTCAGCTGAGCAGATTCCCCTGTCGACCAGGTCAGCCCCCTGCTGGACAGGTCAAGGTCAGACCAGGTCAGCTGAGCAGATTCCCCTGCCGACCAGGTCAGCCCCCTGCTGGACAGGTCAAGGTCAGACCAGGTCAGCTGAGCAGATTCCCCTGTCGACCAGGTCAGCCCCCTGCTGGACAGGTCAAGGTCAGACCAGGTCAGCTGAGCAGATTCCCCTGTCGACCAGGTCAGACCCCTGCTGGACAGGTCCAGGTCAGACCAGGTCAGATGAGTAGATTCCCCTGCCGATCAGGTCAGTCCCCTGCTGACCAGGTCCAGGTCAGACCAGGTCAGCTGAGCAGATTCTCCTGCCCACCAGGTCAGTCCCCTGCTGGACAGGTCCAGGTCAGACCAGGTCAGATGAGTAGATTCCCCTGCCGATCAGGTCAGTCCCCTGCTGGACAGGTCCAGGTCAGACCAGGTCAGATGAGTAGATTCCCCTCCCCACCAGGTCAGTCCCCTGCTGACCAGGTCCAGGTCAGACCAGGTCAGCTGAGTAGATTCCCCTGTCGACCAGGTCAGCCCCCTGCTGGACAGGTCAAGGTCAGACCAGGTCAACTGAGTAGATAATTTTCCTGCCGACTACGTTAGTCTCCTGTCGATCAAGAGGGGGGGAGGACGGGAATGTGGTGTTGGAGACGTTCGCTGCGCTCGATTGGCACAGGCGGCCAATCGCTAGCCAGCGGAGGTAGTCGTGATGTGGAACGGTCCTCCTATTCCTTCTTCTACCCGATCTCTCCACAAAAGATGCCCTCGAGCGGTTGACCTGTTCAGGTCATCACCCGGGGCTGACCCGGCCGGATCCCATCGTCGACGTTAACGCGACGGGATCGGTGTCGCCGGTGGCGCGGCGGCCACCGCTGGCCGGCTTTGCTCGGTGCTGAGCTGCGACGGTGCTGCGCTGAGACGGTCGCTGAGCCGACCCTACCAACCATCCGCTCGCCAGACAGCCGGCATCACCGGCACGCCATCGGGGCCGGCGTGACAAGGGTGGGGGCGGGACACCCCACCATCGGACTGAAGAGGCGAACATGGGGGAGATAAACAGTGACATGTGACATGTGACATGGGGGAGATGGACGGAGACGTCATCGAGAGGGCGAGCTGCTGTCGAACGCAGCTTCCAGCGTACCCCCCTTCCTCACTCAACAACTCTTCATCCAACAGATGACGCTGCTCTCTCTGGGCACACGCGCAGATCCCCCCTCCCCCCCCCCCCACCACCACCACCGGGGGCTCGTCCGCCCCGTGATGATATTGACAAGTCACGGTTGACACTGAGGAGACATTGACCGGGTCGACCCCACCCCACGTCGTCCTGCCTCTCCTGCCTCGCTGCCCGTATTGACCTCGCCGCGCCGGAGCGATGAGCGCGACATGGACCGATGAGGCTCCTGCGGGGGCTGTGTGATGCCAGGAGGACACTGGGCTACACACCGCTTTTTGTTGACATGCCGACAGGCGGGGTTTGTCTTCTCCCTCAGGTCAGAGAGGTCAAATGGTGTCTATCAACATAGGCCTAGCAAATCATGATGCTAACCTTAAATCCGCATTGTCCGCAAAACCCCAGTGGGCCTTTCGACATTCTTATGACGATATTCTCTTCTGGAAAGTATTCTGGTACGATGGCTGCAGTTGTCTTTACTCTTTTTCCATTCAGCTCTCCCATGAAGTCGCCTGCGGCGTGACCATGGCCGTCCGTGCCATCGCTGGGTCACTATTGGCAACCCTGGCCCGGCCTTTCTGCGTCTCCCCTCCGATCACTGTCACCGGCTGCAGCCCTTACCCTCTGACCTCGCCTCGACGCCGTCCTCGCCGCCCACTCTCCGCCGCGCTCCGCCTGCCCAGCTCGTTGCCCCCCCCCCCCCCTCCGTGCTATTTGTTCCGTACGCAGCGGCGTAAGCAAACAAGTGATTGAACAGCGGCAAAAACTGGCCGCGGCCGGCAGCAGCGTGTGACCTCGCTCCGACGCACACCGACGCCGGCCGTTGCGTAACGCCGCCCAGCGGCGCGCCGGCCGGCCGCTGGCGCGGAACGCACGCATAATGACCTGCCTCAACAAAGGTTCGCTTGGAAACGCACTTTGATACCGGACGCGGGTTGAAATATGGACCGCCGCCACCGCCGCCCCCCCCCCCCCCCTGCTCTACCCGGATAGGCTCGCCCCTGGCGGCGTCGGGCGAGGAGTGGGAGCTGTGGGGCGCTGGAGCGTGCGGAACGCGTGTGGATGGGTGGGCAGTGGGCAGAAGCTCGCATGCGGAGGGCGCTCGTGCATGCCACGGGAAAATGAACGCGGGTTAGCTGGTGAGTTGCGAGGCATCTAATGGCGGCCGCTGGTTTGGACGCGACAGCGGCCCCAGAGAACCCTCGCGGTTCTCAAGCGTTGTTTTGAAAGCCGAGCTCCCTCCTCACCTGCATCAGCCGGCGCGCGTGTCGGCCAACAATTCCGGGCACTTGAAGAACCTGTGAGCCACAGCTGTGCCGCCCGTCTCGTGCCCGGCTGCCGGCGCCCCAGGCGCGCTCGGCGCGAGCGCCGCCCTCGTCAGCCCACCGTGCCGTTCCCCCGTGATGGTCGCCCGTGACCTCAATCCTCACCCCGGCACGGGCCGACCCCGCACCAGGTTTCCGGGCCCTCGGCCGGGTATAAATAAGGTCACCGCCGGGCGCCCCCCGGCGGCGGCGGCGGCGGCGGCGGCGGCGGCGGCGGCGGCGGCGGCGGGCGGGGGGGGGGGGGCGTTTCACAACGCCGCTCGAATGTAGGTAAATGGGCTGAGGCCACCGCGGCCAGCCGCGCAAGCTGTTGGGCAAAGCTCCTTTTACTTTTGACGCGACGCGCAGCTGAAAGGGGCGGCACGAGCCGGACCAACGGCGTCTGTGACGTCATCGGTGGCGTGTTTTCCCCGGATGACGTCACAAGCCGGTGCGGGGAATGGGTGACGTCAGCCGCTTCCATGCAGCCGCCCACGCGTCACCCGCCGTACTACGGAATTCCGCCAGGATTGACGGCTGTTGACGCGAGCCGGGTGACGTCACGAGGTCACGTGACTGCCGCCGGCGCCATCGGCAGGTCGAAGTCCGGTGGGCGACGGAGTGGGAGGTTTTGCGCGTCCAGGGCGAGCGGTGTCGACGGTCGACGCTGCACATGCGATTGCGGCAGACCAGAGCCCAGCTGTGTCCCCAGCTGTGGTTTGACGGGCTGAGCGACGCAAGTGGTAAGCCCGGCACGGGCAGCCCCCGGGGGCGGCCCGGTCCCGGCCGTCCGGACGCTCTGAGCATTGGCAACAAAAAAACAAAACGAGACGAGCGCAACTCCGACTCTGGGAAAGCAGCTTCGAGAACTATCGGCCTGAACACGGTGATAGTGTTCAACAGTAAAGTGTTTTAGTATTTGAACTGGTATCTGGTGCCGGCCACACGTATAGCTGTTTTGATGGCGGATGTTATCCCCGTCCGTCGCTTAAAAGGCATTGCGCGAAGCTGATTTGCAGCGCTGTGCTTCCAGACACGACCCGAATGAGCTGCAGTGTTAAACTCCGGTGCTAAATTACTTCTGCCATGTTCTGCAGTGAACTCACATACTTCGTAATGCAGCATAACACATAGAACATCTGGCTGAAAGTGGAATGCATAATACACCCACGTAGCATTCCAGCATGTCCGTATTATTGCTCGCTGTTGTAAAACAACGTCCCATGGGCACAGATGTGCTTTCGAGACAAGCTCAGCAGTGGGAGCCTCGGTTAGTCGCTGCTGCCCTTGACCACAAGTGATGGTGTACCCAAGATAAAAATAGGTTACACTTCGCCCGCTTATCGGGGAGATGGGCACTTCATTTGACAGTCGCATCCCAACATGTCTGATCGCTGGGCCCAGGGGTCAGGCATGTTGGGATGCCTGATCATCATCATGTCATCTGGTGCCTGACCATCCGTGGCTGACGAGTCGGGCTCTGTTGCGTCAGTGCCATCCCCGGTGATACCCTCACCAGCTGCATCCTTCGCATTCACATCCCTCCCGGCGACATCACCGCCAGGCCATGTCCCTCCGGCGACGCCCTCACCGGGCACATCCCCCCGGCCACAACCCTCCAGGCCGCATCCTCACCAGATCTCATCCCTCCCGTCCATGCCCCTCCCTGTTCACTAGACCTCGTCCCTCCCGGCCACATCCCTCTCGGGTACATCCCTCCCAGCCACATCTTTCACCATACCACGCCCCTCCTGGCCACATCCCTCTCCATACCACACCCCTCCTGGCCACATCCCTCACCATACCACACCCCTCCCGGCCACATCCCTCACCATACCACACCCCTCCCGGCCACGTCCCTCACCATACCACACCCCTCCCGGCCACATCCCTCACCATACCACACCCCTCCCGGCCACGTCCCTCCGGGTCTGTCACGTCCTGGCCGACTGTCGCCCCGGGCCGCCGTCACCTCCCTCCCAGTCAGGCCTCGGCCGGCCTGAGGACAGGCCGTGCGCCGCAGGCCGCCTCCGCTCCGTACTGCGCAGTACGAAGGACAGCCGCAGGAGCGGCGAGCCGCCGGCCTCCATGGCCTCCATGGGCGCCGCGCTCCATCGGCGGCAGTCGGAACGCTCCGCAGCGGGCGGGCTCGTCCGCGGGGTGACGGCGGCATCATCGGGCCGGCGGCAGCGGCGGAGCGAGCGCCGCTGGCGTGGTCGGTCGTCTGGTGTCCGTCCGCCGCCGGCTGTCCTCCGT